TATTCTTATCATATATCAAAGCGATTCTATAATATTAGCGCAAATTCTTGAGAAAAGATCTCTATTTTCATGAAAGAGCAAATATGTATACCAATGAATTAAGAGAGGATAATGAATTAAGGACGTAGATAAGGGAAATAAATAAAAGGATTTTGATTCTCAACGGTGGTGTTAACTCGTTAAATTCGTAAAAATTATTTTGTACTACAAAATTTGTAAATAATCAATAATGACATTAGAACAAGATGAAATGAGAAAATGTATTTTATTGTGCATATATTGAATACATGTAGGTATTTGAATTATTACATTTTATTAAATTAAACATATATATATATATATATTAAAAGTTACTATTTGAATTTAACAAGAATTACAGACTGATTGAAATTATGATAATTTTTTCATAGAAAATAATTTATTATAATAAAAATAAAACAATATTCAATACCTACATTTTATCTGATATATTCATAATCAAAACTTAAAATTCGTTTCATCTATTTTCGATTTGATGGGATAAAAAGGTGCCTCTAGAGAACGGTGATGAACGACACATTGCTCAGGAAAAAATATAGGCGTAAAGGCACGAGATATGAGAGTGCCAAACGGTCATAAATTACAAAATGGTGCTGGTCCGTCTATATAGAGAAATAATGTAGACGAATTGAAAATTAAAAATCTTTTATAAGAAAATTGTCCGAATAGTTATCATTAGCTGTTCTCATCAATTAATATTATACATCTAGTTTCTTTGGGACCGTGTAACTCATTTAGTGCGAAGAATTACAATCATTTAGCAATATTCAATAAATGTGTGTTTTAACGTTATTTTCTTAGATGAAAATAATATTTTATAAATATCTCAAAATTGAACTTAAATTTTACAAAACTAAATAATAACAGATTTCATTATATTTTCGACATGTGTACTTAAAAGTAAAATTTATTATAAACGTCGATTATAAACTCATCTTTCTTTGAAATTATTCTACTTTTTTTAATAAAAATTTTCCATAAACGCTTTATTACATAAAAAAAACATCATATTCATAAATATAAGCCATTATATAAGACAACTCTTTAAATCAATCTAATTATTATAAGATTTAAAATTCAATAGTACGTTTTCATGCAATAAAAAATATTTACATGTTATTTATATTATATAAATTCGTATTCTTTTTTTTTCTAAAAATTATAATGTTATGATATAATGAAAAAATTCCTCAATTTGTAATATTCTCTTTTTATTGTTTTAAAGAATATTTAATTTTAAGAAAAAAAAATATATTTGAATGATAATAAAAAAGGTACTCCCAGATATATATTTAGAGAAGTACCTGATAAACAATAAAACCAAGAAAAAATAATTTTGGTTCGAATAATTTAAAAAAGTTTAAGCCATAATTACTTCAAACAGCGTTTATTTAAATTTATCATGATATACTTATTTAAAAATAATATATAAGCAAAATTAAAGAATATTGAAATAATCTTTTTTAAATGTTTAATTAATGTTTTATTTCTGTTATAAGAATAGATCAGTATTGATAACTATTTTACGATAACTATTAATTTTACAATAATAATTATTGTTCCAAATGTAAAACTTCACATTAAACAAGACCAAGATATATAATAATGATAATAATAATGTCATCGTATGTTAAATACGTGCAATAAAAAAGAAAATCATTAAAATGAATATTTTAGATGCTATTATGAAAGAGAAAAAACATTCTATTTTAATTGGTTAAAATATTTTGCTAATCCGCAAGAGTACTTTATTAAAAACTCAACTCTAATCCTAATATTTACATAAAGACAAAAATATAATCGCATTACTTATTATTACTTATTTATACAAAAATACAAAAGCTATGAATCGAGAATATTGTGCTGCATAATTGTGATAGAGGTCCAGAATTATTATAAGAACAAACGTTAGCAGTACTTATGAGCATATACTAAAGCATGAAGTTTTTAACACTGAATTTCATTAGATATATCTAATACATTAACATGTTATCATATACATACTACTGATATTACCTATATTGAAAGATTATCAAGATAAGTATGAATTGTTATGAGTTCATAAAAGAATTGTACATAATCTAGTTATCATACAGTATTAAAAAGTAATAATTAGTAATAGATTCTAGTAGATGATTTATGCCTTATATTAGACAAACAAATAAATATATTATTTCCTCTCTATTTTGTAACTTTTTAAAATTATATCCTTACAATACAAACATTTGTAATCATTATAATATTAACATTCTTATACTTTTGTGTTTATTCATTGTCATATGATTGGTGTTTACCTTTTTAATGTTTACTTAAAATTTCTAACATATACAAAGTAAAAAATATGTGTTTTCATTACGTTGTCCTTAAATATTAAGAAAGTATATATTCTTAAATATTAAGAAAGATAAAAAGATTGTTCTTATATAATATATGCAGTATAAAAATGGCTTCACCTCAAAAATTAGCAACCAAATTTTATAAAATTTCACCACAGATATTAAAAAATGATAAAAGGTAATGCAATAGTAAAATAATTTAATGCATAAATTAATTCATTTTAATTAATATTTATATATTATCATAGAATATACTTAAGTCCAAGAACTCCTATAAAAAATGTTTATAAAAATAATATTGGAACCAAAAACCAATTATCTCCTTTTAATATTGATACTCCTAACAGACAAAAAATATTAAAAGATGGTTTTCCTATTAAATGTGGCACATTTCTAGGAAGCGGCGGATTCGGTATTGTATATAAAGCTTTGTATAAAGGTAAAACAATTTTTTTAATGTTTTTTTTAATTTTAAATGTAGCATATTTAAATATTATATATTGAATAGGTGAACAAGTGGCAGCTAAAATGATACAAACAGAAAAATATTCTAATATGTTAAAGAGTGAAAAACATGCTTCTTTCCTAAGACATTCCAATATAGTAAAAGTGTTAATGATAGAACAAGGTGCTTCTTTGTCTTTAATAACAATGGAATTATGTGGCACTACCTTGCAAAATCGTCTAGATGAAGCAATATTAATTAAAAATGAAAGAATTTGTATATTAAGAAGTATTACTTGTGCTCTACAATTTTGTCATAATGCTGGTATTGTTCATGCGGATGTCAAACCTAAAAATATTTTAATGTCTAAAAATGGTCAACCAAAGCTTACTGATTTTGGTAGTTCAGTGCTAATAGGTGCACCAAATGAAATTGATAAATTTTATGTATGTTTCTATTATATAATATGATGTTTATTGCTTATTAAAAAGATTTTTTTCTTAGGGTACACCAGGATATATTGCTCCAGAAGTTATAAAACAAAATAGACCAACTCCTGCAGCAGATATTTATTCTTTAGGAATTGTAGCTTGGCAAATGTTATTTAGAAAATTACCATTTGCTGGATTGCATAGTCATACAATTATTTACCTTTCTGCAAAAGGGCATCGCCCTATAGATAATAATATTGATGATGAATTTAAAGGTACTTATAAAACATTATATAAACAAATGTGGTCACAAAATACTATTGAAAGGCCCACAACTAATGAAGTAATAACTAAAATTGATACATTAATTTCTTCTTAATGTTTATTTCAATTATTATCCTTAATTAATAGAAATTTTTATTATTCTATAGTAGATACGTATGAATTAATAATCAAATTTTGATTATATAACATATAATGAAAGAAATCATCTTTTACGTATCAGGCATTTCTCCACCAGGTACAAGCTGCAAAAATATTACAAATGATAATAAAAATATCACATAAAAGTTTACTGTATACATTTAACAAATTAATAAATAATTTGAATAATACTTATATTAAAGAAATTAATTTAAACTATTATTAAAAAAAAATTATTAACCATTGTGATATTGCTTCCATTAAGTAATATTTGATCAAGTTTGGTGACTCTTCTTCCTTCCGGTGTTGCTTCGCTTTCTGTCACATCTTCGAGTAACATATTTACGAAATCGTCAAAGCCTAACAAAGTGCCGACAATTTCTTTATCATTTTTCATAATAATATGTATCCGAGAACCAATACATTTGTCGACTAATTCTAAAATTTAATACAATGAAGTAATATTACGATCAAAAAAAGTAAGGTTAGAAATATAATGTAAACAAAACTTATCTTACCTAAAGGCAATAGGGTTGATGGATTTGTACTGACAGAACTGGTCATAATGAAAAAGATAGCAAGATATATTAATTAATTAAAAATAAAAATAATACAGCACAAATTATTCTTTATTTCATCGACAAATACTCGCTCTATAATGCGGTGCATAGAAACACCACCGGCACGCCATCTACGTGAAACAGATAGAACAATCAATGTCAAAATATTCATTGTCGTATATCACAGATTAAATATAAAATAGACTTATATATATTATTAAATATCTAATTCATTTTTTTCACCACAAATGATATATAATAGATCATGACATACAATGATAATATAATTTTCCATTAAAAAAATTTTTGTTTATTTTTTTATTTTTATTATTTGATGTTATTTATTTAATTTTTAATATTATAAGCCATTTGGATTATTTAAAACATTGAAAAAGATTGATATCATATAATATAAAGTAAAAACAAAATTTATTTAATCAATTTATTTCATTCTCAATAGTAAGAAAATTCAACGTTTCTCAAAGAGATGGAGTAACTAGTCAAAACAAATGAACAAATATAAACAAAGATAAATAATAGAAAAAAAATAAAAATAATGTAAAAATTGACAATCAATGTCATCTTTTGAATTGACAAAACAAAAAATTTTTTCAAAGATAGAGTAAATAATTGATTTTTGGTTCTATATTTTTAAAAATATTTAAGAAAAGACACTAAATCTCAATTCTTATTTTATTTTACCTTGTCTTTGAAGAGATGTTTTTAAAATTCAAAAGATAATACTGAAAATCAATTTTTAATCTATCTCTATTGTTTTCTATTTCCTTTTTTATTTATATAAATTTTATTTATAGTATTTTAAAGATAATGTCAAAAATATAAAAATATATATAAAATATATAATTTTTTTTCAACAATTTTTTCAATTCATTTATATTAATAGATATTAATAATAATCACTACTATTCTCTGTTTGACAATATGATTGATCTATACTATTTATCTCATAATTAATATCAGTTAATTAATAATTAATGACAACAATTACAATAGTCAATACATTAATGTTAATGTAAAATTAAATTTTAATTTCAGCTATTAAAATTATGTAAAAATTTAATATTTTCGAAATAGATAATATCATTCAAGAAGTATTACAAAGTATTACAAGTATAATAAATTATTTATCGATAAAATGTGACGAATTTGAGCAACTTTTCAAAAAATGGCGCTATATTTTTATAAATTATATTTTATATCATATATATATATTTTTTTTATCATATTATATATCATATGAATATTTTATATATATTTTTATATTTTTATATTTATATAATATTTCTGTATAATATATAATATTTTGTATAATATTATATATGTAAAAATATTTACGAAATATTAATATTTTTATTGCTATTTGATTCTACTAATATTAAATTACATTCAAAATACATTGAATTTTGAATATTTCAATAATCAAATTAATTTCCATCAAATTAATTAATCAAATTAAATTAAATTGCATCATTTTTAATTATATTAAAGCATATTAAATCTGAATTTTTTGTGCAATCGGTATTTCAAAACGTAAAACACAAAATTCTCTAATATAAAAAATTTATACTATGCTTGCTGTATAGTGATTACATAAGTTGAGTTAGACCAAAGATAATAATAAATCTATTATCTACATAGTCTATGCCAGTGTTCACTATGATCATATAAAGATACATTTATTTGTCATGTAACAGTTGCCATGTTGTTCTAGGAAGAAATATAGGGAAGTTACATACATAATTTTGCCAAACATGAAAGTCGGAAAAACAAGATTAAAATTTTGGACACTGGTTAAGGTAATATTATAATTGTGTAATATTAATTAGTTAAAAAATTTTGAACTCAATAAATAATCGTATTGTCATATCTTCATATTTTTACTAAATGATCTAATAATCTTATGTTTTGTTTTCATTATGGTGTAACATACTATATTCTATTGAACAATGCGTGTATTTATTTCACAAAAGCTAACCTACCTAATCATCATTGAAGTTGTTATATACAAAGTTATGAAAAAATAAAAAAATTCGATCCATATTATAATTTAAAATATTATATCTATTTATTATACGTTATGGTGTGTTTATTTCAATGGCGTTAGAAGAACAACAAAAAGAAAGCAGTGATTCCAAAAATGAAAATTATTTACCGGAAAGAAAGGGAGAAGGTTGAAGAATTTTACCTGTAACCCATTTGTATTAAAGGAACATTTTATTCAATGTCAACATATATCTACTGCGAACGCGCAAGAGCGCAGGTACACGTATATCCTTTCTCGCATGCCCCTTCCTTGCGAAAGGACAAAGCGGCTTCGGTTCCCGTTACGGCAGACTTCGGTTGTGGCTCGTTGAAGAAAGGCGGAACATCAGAAAAATGTGTGCGAAGAGTATGCTAAAGGAATATAAGAAATAAAATCGTGTGATGAGTGTCTTGTGTATTCTTATCGTTCAAAGTGGACAGTCCTAGGTACTGGTGTGAATCGCGTTCACCGCGCATGGTCTGTTGAGAAGAACCACCCTCCTTTTTCTAATTACTTTAATTACAAAGCGAGCCTATTTGGCGTGTGTATTCCGTGTCCCGTGTTTCTTGAGAGATATAAGTACAATAGAATTCATCATAGAATTCAATGGACGAAAATGGCGACTTGAATTTTATCAACAATTATACTCGTAAATTGTGCTTTGTGTATGACCGATTGAATAAGTTCTTTTTGCAATTATTAAAATATAAGTTCATCCACAATAAAGATCTTGTTTATTCTGTTAATGAACACGGTATTTTTCTAATGGTATTTTAATATTCTTAATTTATAAAAATATATTTAAATCAAAGACGATCAAAACAAAAAGAGTAAAAATAGTGATGAATTTAGTAATGTGTATTATCGTGCGAATAACGAATAGTTCATGCGGAGGTCCGTTACCTTTGCTATTTCGTGCGACGTTAATGCGTTCTTATTCTCATCAAAAATTAAGAAAGCGTATACCAATAATTTAACGGAGATTTTAATTGAATGTTATTATTTGCCGCAACAATTATGCCATCCTGTTTGAAAGATTATAAAAAAAAGTATTAAAGAGAAATCGTGCGCTAAGAAATATCAAGTGATGAACTAGAACGAAGAAGACGATAGGAATTCTGGTTCGTTGCAAAAGAAGAAGGAATCGGAAGACGTGTTCGTGGAAGTGGAAAAGGAACGCGAAGGTGCGACGAGGTAGAGAAAGAAGAGCGAAAGAGAGAAAATATCTCAGAGATGAAAATCAGTGGATCGTGATTCTCTAGGGAGTCGAATAAGAGGTAGTAAGAGGAGGCCAGCCCGAATGGGAGTAGCAAAGACTAGATCGTGGTCGGTTCCTTTGGGTTGTCGAGGTCGTGGCAACGAGGACGAAGGAAAAGAGGACGGCCGTCTAACCGGGTCGTGGAAAAATCGAGTATATAGTGATTCGGTGCAACGATGACAACGACAACTGGAAGGTACGGTGCTATGGAAATGAGACATTCAAGAAGCGAGGATCTACTCGGTGTGATTTCTGGCTCGCGATCTCCGAGTCCTAACGTGCCTCTGCCTAGTACCGCTTCCGAGGATGACCTTATCGCGGCCAGCGCCCTCCATGAGGCCACTGACACCACCATAAAACCAACGTGTCCCTTGTTGTCCTCGAGACCGGCCGGTTTTCCAGCAGATCGCATTGATCCTGAGGATTCTATTCGAGATATTGTCACCGAAAATGATCTCTACAGGTTCGTATGAAATTTTTTTTTCTTAAAATACTTAATGTAGTATTGCATCATTTGATTTTATGTATATAATCTCTATTGACATAAGTTTATATTCATTCTATTTATAACGAAATCATTGATTTTTATTATCAGTATTTATATTTTATCTTTTTTTGAAACTAATTTTATCAAATATTATCAATATTTATATTTTTATCTTTTCTTAAAACAAAAATCTCTTAATCCGATTACTTTAATCAAAAGATTATTTGTGAGCAAATTTTTTTGAAGTACAAATATGATAATAAAAAAATTTAAAAACAAAGAAATTGATAACAACGAATAGAATAAAAATGCATTATTTCTTGATAACTTATAATTTGTAATCGAATAATTTTAAAATCCATTATATTTTAAATTTATTAAAATATATTATAAATATACAAGAATATAAATTATATATTATAAATTTGTAATATTTTATATTATATTTTTTATTATTATATTTTGAAAAGATTGAAAAATTAATTGAATTCTATATTTTGTATATGTTCTTTTTTAAAAAGAACATTTAAAAATTCTACAAATTTTATCATTAGATTCTCATCTCACTAAATCCGTCACTAGATCGATTCAATTATATGCACATATATACTGTAAAATTATTTCTCTATCAAGAGATAAGGCAAAAGAGAGTTTACAAGATTAAAATATGTAATATGTATATCTACCTATATTTTTATACCTACCTATATTTATCTATATTTTTATCTCTTTTTCGATTAATTTCATAGATATCATTAAGAGTTTCTATACATAATTCATATATAATATGTTTACGTACGTAATACGTTTTTTGAATTTATACAATTATCAGTTCAAGTCATATGGATTTATTCGATCTGATTCTAATTTAATAAATATAAAAAAAATTGATATATTATGTATTTTTATGAAATTTTATGTTAAAATTTCTAAAAAAAATAAAATAAAAAAATTTTAAAAGATTGAACTCCCATTAAGAAAATTTCCATTCGAATATATTTTTGCAACGATGAATTTATCATCGTTTGAATTTTTCGTTAGAGCACACGAACTCGTATAGTACAAAAAAGAATAAAAAAAAAGAATCCGGTTTCCGGTTCGGTCGTCGCGTGTGTATAGCTCGATTTAAGTGACGAGTTGAATCATTGACGAACTATTCTAGTTGATTTGTAGACGTGCACGTGCAATGCGTATAGATACACAATCGCGTTTGAAAACGGAAAGCAAGGAGCGTTTCATTTTTTAATGAAGAAGGAGCGGCTTCCGTCCGTAAGGGCTTGAAGGCTCGTTCTCAATGAAAACAGTTTTGAAGGAAACTAGCAACGACTCCAGAAGCCAGCAGGCGTCCACTTAAAACGATTTAATCGGTGCAATTAATCAGCTCTCCTCGGTTTCAACAACTTCGGTAATTTTGTCGGTAATTAGAAATAACCACGCGCTTCTATTATTATCGTTACTTATAAAACAAAGTGAAACAATTAATCTCAAACACGAACATGGAATTCTTTTTTCTTTCTCCGTTAATTTTTTCTTTCTTATCGCTCGAAAGAAATTTATTTCTTTGAAAGATGACTGGAAACAGATATAGAATATATTTCATGTGTAATGCATGTTGAACGGTAAAAATACGAATCGCGAATGGGTTAAATATAACTTTCATTTTTGGCAACACGATGCTCCATGTTAAACTCCGATCATAGTCGCCGTTATTCAAATACTTTATGCGAAAGCATTACTACATTCTACTATCTACATTTTAGACATTCTACAAGTTAGAATGAATTAGAAATTATTTTAGCAGACTGATTAAACAATGTATTATTATCAAAATTCGAAATTTGTCAATATTTAATCTAACTTGTTAATATTGATTCAAACTATTCATGAATTAATTAAAATGTAGATTATAGAAATAATTTTTCTTGATTTAAATAGTTTAGCGTTAAATTCAAATTATTTTTAAATATTTTAAAACAAAGAAAAATAAAGATAAAGAAAAATAAGACAAAGAAATATATCAAATAATAATGTACTATTGTTATCAATTACTAATACAGACTAGGTTGATAAGATTAATTTTAATCAATAAAATCGAAGTATTGATTTGAAAAAATTCAAGTGATTTATATAAGATTAATTATTAAATAAAAATTAGTTCCATTATTGCACACGATAATACAAATTTTTTAAACAAAATCTTATCAACGTTAACATTTTTTATCAAGAATAATTTTTTTAACTTACAAACGAATGTCGCAAAAAATTTTCTATAATCGGTTTTCGTCAGATACAGATAAAAGGTTATGTTGAGCGGGAAATTTGAACGAAAGTGTACGCGACCTAATTCCCCACTTATTATTTCGCAGTGATAGCGACGACAATAGTTTTCGTCCAGCCTAAATAGGTATAATCCGATGCAATGTTCGGTAGTCATCGAATCAGAATCGAAATCAACGTGTTCCTCGATGCGTGACCATTGACTCGTGCCCGGTATCGAGCACCGTCGGCTCTCCAGCGATTGTGCAGAAAAGAACAGAGCTAAAGATAGCAATATATTTGAGAGCAGCTTCTTTGCCTCGTCCCGGTAGCCAATTCTTGGCTTTCCATCCATTATTATCTACCGTTCATCTCAATCGATTTTTAAAATATGATCAAGTTTCATACATAAACAGGATTCTGCGTGAGTCAATCAATAAGTAAGGTTAAGTTAGGTTAGGTAGTAGTATTATTCTTAGGTTATTCTTTGAAAAGAATATTTTTATCAGAAATAAGAAAACAAAAATTTATATTCAGATTATTTCTTATTTAGCATTTACAATTATTTATGATAAGAAGGAATTAATTTATGCATCTAATTCAATATTTTAATGTTGCATCCTTTAATTAGACATCCATATTAAAATAATTCCCAGTTATTTTCCTTCGTTCCAGAAAACGCACGATGATGTGTTTCGATGATGAAAATATGCTGGAAATAATTTATGTCCTCAAGAATTTTATATGGCATATATTTTCAACTTGGACGCATTTATTATACGACATTTTTATGTTAATAATATATTGTAATATAAGATTGATTGATATAATAGCTTAATTTATTATACATTATATGTTAACGATTGCATCCATAGAATTATCTAATAATAATTATATATTTTTTAGAACAGAAATTAATATATTTTTTCCTGTATTTTTTTTTTTGATTATATAGCAAAATTTAGATTATATTATAAAACGAATTGTCTAGAATCTATTGATTGATCAGATTATATATAGAATTTATTCTTCTTTCAAACGAAGAGCTTTCTATTTCTAATATTCATAAGAAATTTTTCACTCAAATTATTATTCTGTATATGTATATATATATTACAGCTGAGTGAATCCTATAAGTTAATCTAATAATCTATTTAACTTATATTGAAATATATCAGGAATACTAGATGTATTATAAAATTACGGCAAAATATTGAATGTCATCTGATCTATGAATCTAATCTTGATGCTTAGAATGAAAGAAGTATCATATGGTCTCTATTTAGATTTCTGAAATATTTGATGACATTTATTTCATATATACAACTCGTTTTCGAAACATATATTAGCTTCTACTCATTGAAAAAAAAAATTAATAAAATTCTTCGCAATTTTTTTTTATTTTTTTATTTCGGGGAAAAATATATATAAAATGTTAATATGATTATTTTTATTTTATTCTTATAGAAATACATATATATATAATTACTTAAAATGTTGTAAGAAAAACACGTATATCATGAAAATGTATGATTCTATTTAGAGGAACGAGACTAACTATGAAGTCTTGACGAGTAATGATCGGAAAATAATTCCGCTTCGCTATTATATTTCTCTCGTTGAACTGAGCAATATTATAGCACCGACTGTTCGAGATATCCGGTTAAAATACGGGAAATTATTTGTATAATAACATGCAGAATGAATCTGTATTGAAAAATATAGTAAGGGCTGATTCTACGTGAAAAAATAAATCGTAATAAAGATAGAATAAAATTTTTTCATTTGAGATTTTATTTTGTAAATCGAGTTCGAAAAATTTTTAAATATAAATGAAATTAATTATTTTACAATTAAATATAAATAAATTGTCGATAGAAAATAATTCTACATGTGAAAATAAGAAAAAAAAATATAAAATAAACTTTTTTTATTTAGAAATTAGTTTTCGAAATAATTGAATTTGAAAATTTATCGTTTATATTGTGAAGTACAATATAGCCAGATAAAGCTGGGAAAAACCCAAATATCCTTTGGCACTAACAGGTCATAATATTTTTTTTTCATTCCTTTCACTCAATGGAGCTTTGAAAATGCGTTGAAGAAAAGGAAAATCAAGGATATAATATAAAGAGAGAATATCTTCATTTTTACAAACTCGATTTCTTGATTATTTAATCTCGATTTTTTCAGAAAAATAGATTTAAAATAAAATTTTATTTTATATTTTTTATCAAAGTATTATCTATTCAATAGTTTATTCGTATCTAATCGGGAATTAATCAATCTTATTTGAAAAATTTTCTCGATTTATTCGAAAATAAAATCTCGAATAAATTCTATTTTATATTTTTAACTTATTTTTTCACATAGAATCATGAATTTCTTACCATATTTATATATGTGTTCTGATTCACCTTATATAGATTTATTAACTAATTAAATAAATATATATTTCAAATAGACAATTGGAATAGTTTTCACAATATTATTCTAGAGATCTAATCTGTGTGGAAAGCTATTTTTTTACGAAGACACATTAAGATTTGATATCGCAATTTATTTTTTTTTAAATTAAAAAAAATTGCTTAAAAATAAATTTTATAATAATTGAAAACAAATCAATGAAATCATTAAATTTTGCAATCGACATCAATTCTATGCTATTATCAATATTTTTTCAATATAGTTCAGTAATTTAGATTAGATTTTATTCTCTTTGTTCTTGTTAATTTTATAAAAAGATAACTTAGAAATCATATGTATCAGACTTATTTATTTTTCAAAATTCCATTTGAAAATTAAATTCATCACGTTAAAAATATAATAATAAAAAATTTAAAAAAAAAGAAAAATAAATTTCACTCTGAACCTAGTAATAATAGATTTGTTGATAACGTTAGTAAACTCATATTTTATAATTAAATATTAGGATAATATAATATAAAATACAGGACGTTTTTAAAATTCTGATACAATCATAAAAGAAATAATTTATGATTTAAAAATAAATTATGATTTTGATTATTAAATGATTAAAAATAATCAGCTAATATAAGATAATTTTATAATTTTAATAAAAATTTTTTTATAGTTTGGAACTCCAAGCAATATTTTATCACAATAAAACTAATTAAAGAATTTCTTTCTAATCATTTATATTCATTTTTATTTTTCAAGATACATATCTTAAAGGCAAAAGATAAATAATTATATATGTAAAAATTTCATTATTTGATTTTTTAGATTCTTAATGGATTTCGTTAAAATACGCATTTAATATGTAAAAAAACCGTCTTTCAAATAAGAACCGAAAACAAACGGGAACAGAAACATGTCTTCACTTTCCTTTGCGCGTATATCGTGTTCGATCTCTCGAAGAAAAAAGTGCACATAGATCGAGATAGGAAAAGAAACTAACGCACCCTTTTGTGGTTACCGCGCCATCTTTGGACGCGTCGATATTCAACATCGTTAGCCCTTTCACTGGAATACTCAAGTTAGAAAGCTGTCTGAAAACCGTCATTCTACAAACGGTACGAATCGTTGCTTACGATAAATGCCAGCTTAATTCGTATTACCAATTTCTCTACTGATGAACGATTCGATTTATGAACGAATTGTGATGTGAATATTTATCGATCCAAGTTCCTACTTTATCTACAGGAACATTAGTCCGTGAACAATATGCATAATTTTCAATTTCGGTAGACCTTGACAAAACAGTGTGCCGATAATAATATAGATATATTTCAACGTTTTTTCGTATTTCGTATTCTTCTATGAACTGTATATAAGTCATCGTACTGTAAATTAAATTACGAAAATTAAATTTACGATTGTATAATAATAAAACATAATTGAAGTATAGAAATTATGAAGATTCTAAATTGAAATATGGAGTAATATTGATCAATGAAATTCATTCTGAAATATTCATATAGTATTTAATTCATTCAAAAATAACATATAATAGATAAATTCTTTTTTATTCACTATGTTTTTCTATATAATTTGATAAAATATAAAAGGAATTTCTTTTTGAAAAATTTTATCTCATTTTTATATCTTTAGTTGACATTTATGCTAGAAAAGTGTAAGTTTAGTCTACTAATTCTATAACTTCTATCACTATACATAGAAATAAAAATTTGATATCTAGAATAACATAAGATTAATTTCGTTTGTTTATTAACACGCGATTCTATATGATATTATTTTTAGATATAAAATCTTAAAATAAATTATATGGATTTTTATCAATGTATTGAATTTAAATGAAATTTATTTTATCGTTTCCTGATCACAGATAAAGTATAATAGTTACTTTCTCTAAAATTATTTCTAGTAATATATATTATATACTAGAATAAACATATTATTTTATGATTTTAATCATTACAAGAAATGATATCAATTTCAAATAAATAAAAAATAATTTGTCATTTTACAGTTCTCATGAAATAAATAGTAAAAAATTTAAACAATAAAAGATAAGAAATTTAAGTGAAATTTATATTAAAGTACAAAATACAATATTTTGTAATTGCAAACTACTAAATTAGGCCTAATAATTGAAATTATTATTCATCTTTACTATTAGAAAAACCTCTTTTAACATCTCTCTGAATTTCTTGATGCACAAAAAATATAATTCAATGCTTAAATATCTATGAAAAAATGCTAACATTTATTTATTTTTAATTTTTTTTAATGAAAAAAAAATTTATTTATACTTTTAATTGAAATAATATCAAATAATAATACATATAATTTGAATATTAATTTGATGATTGAAATATTTTTTTTTATCTATTAATATTAGAATTATTAATTATAATCATTACATATTAAATATATACGCTGTAATACAATATTATACACTAAGTAAAAGTGACTAATCTCTTAAAATAATATTATGCAATATCTAAATAATTAGATATTATAATTATATTTTTATCTGAATAAAAATATAATATTAACATTAATCAAAAATGCTTATGTATCTTTAATACAAAATCAAAAATCTGAAATTAGTCAATTTTAATTGATTTGATAATTCTAGTATTAAATAAATAAATATAATTCAAATTATATTATATTTGATTTTATTTTAATTACAAATATCTCAAAGATATCTTGATAAAAATTTTATTAAAGAAAAGATCAAGAAAATAAAAAAAAATTTGGTTTTCAAATCTTTTTTTTTTTTTTTACTCTTTCATTTACATAGAATCTCTGTCTAATTTTTATTTATAATTTTAAAAAAGCAAAATTTCTTAATATCTCTATTCTACTTAATTCTTTTATACGTGAGAACATCATTATCATTATACCATGTCAATATTCTTAATCAAGTATAGATTATTGATAATTAGATCGTCTCCTTAAATATTAATTTACATATTGCGCGAACAATGTTGCGCGAGTATTCAATTGATTGCACACAGGCTCGATGATTCAGGATCAGCTTTCCAATCGGTGCAGAAGCAACGCAAGCCTCGAAGATCGAAAAGAGTAGGAGAGTAGAAACTCGGTGAATCGTATCGCATTCATTCTTCTAGCCCGTCTAGAATTACATCGAGATAAGTTTCGCACGATAGAGGAGATTCTGTCCAAAAGCGTGACGGGCGGACTGATTCTTGAGGAACAGAGACTGTTTAACTGATGAGCAAACCCGGAAGACGATCGAAGATCGCTGTTGGATCCCAAAGTAGGCGCACAACGCGTTTATCGGGGAATCGTGAAAGCGAAAGTCTCGGAGAGAATGCACGATGCGATGTAACGGTGACGCGAGTGTCAGTGAGTGAACCCAGTCGAAGAGAAAAAGAGCCGGAGAGAGGAAGTTTTTGGTGCAAGACAACGGATTATATAGGGAATTAAGAAGAAGAGAGAAGAGAGAAAGAAAAAGGGAAAGAGAAATCAGTCGAACTATCTCGAAAGAATTCGTGGCAGTCGCTGGGCCTAGTCAGGACACATCATGACCGAAAGGTCGTTTTTTACCTTCTCGGTGTTATGTTGTCGCGAATATTGTTCGCTTACTTAGCCTCGCGTGGGACTCGAGCAAATTTCCGGTTTCCAAACGGCGGATCTCTCTAACGAGAGATCGCGTTGATGAAGAATCCAGCTCAAATTGATAGGAAAATGGGATTGTTGCGCGTCTGGTGATAAAAATACGAGATAAGGAATTGTAATTGTTGTCTCAGGAATTGTCTGTGAATTATCTCGCCTCTTAATTGCGATTTGAATCTTTCCTATTATAGTGATGACTATAATAATATTTGGGATTGTTCGATCGCGTGAAAAATCTCGCGGAATTTAAACATTGTCGAGAAATATTCGTTAGAAATAAATGAAAATGATATTACGAAAAGATGTCATGTGATCGTATTATTATAAGTTTCTTATTTTTTTTCTCAGGATTTCGTCTTTAAACTTTCAATAGTATTATTGTTATTATGGAATTAATACACAATGTTACTTTCTATTTTCAGATTTGTCTTGTTCAAGCGTCATTATGATAAGTACGTCGCTCTGGCAACTAAATACGAGGAGGCTAAAGGTGTCGCTTACTACTTGGAAGAACGTTACCATGAAGTGAAGGTATGTACAAAATAAACACAAAAGTTAATATACAAAATTGAGATTTATTTATAAGTTATTAATAAGTAACTTTTATTTATTTTGGTCTTTAGTATCAATTTTCCAAAAATGTTCTGTGAATATATTAACATTATTTATATCTATACAATATGTGTTAAAAATAAATAAATTCAACTCGATTTGCATTTAATTCGACTTTCTAAATAAACGTATTCACTTGAATAGTAAATATCATATTATAAAAATCAATTATGAAATAAAATACAATGAATTCGAAATTACTTATAAGAATCGATGTTAATATCATAATGATTAGTTTAAGCGTAGTTTTCATTAAAAATTTATTTCTTCTTGTTCGTAGAAAATTATAACAATTTGAATATTTGAAAAGTAAAAAGATATCAATTGAGATTGAATTATATTAATTCAAATTAAAATATATTGAATATTAATAGACTATATTAATAGTAGTCATACGGCGCTAGTGTCGCCTTGTTAAATTTTCAAAGACATAATCCTTTATTCATATGATCTAATATACATGGAAATTCAAATTCTATATTTAAAATTCAAAATGCATAGTTGTTGTCAAAAAAAAGAATAAAAATTAATTAAGTTTTTATTAAATATGTATTTATAAATTAATAGACGTTATTTTATTTTTGATAGAGCAAAATGAAAAATAATTTATTATCATGATTCAATTTATTGTAGAAACTCATTTTCAAATTAAACGTACTTTAAACATATATAATCATTGAGTTTGATCAAACGTGACGAAGAAAATCTGTGGATCGTTTTCCCTATCATGTAAAGAAAGCGTGTAGCGTAATTTACGTCAGTGTTTCGTAAACTCGAATCGAGATTATCAGTGGATTACCGGAATGTAGAAAAGTCAGCATATGTCTGTAATTTTATGATTCAGATCTCGATGGAAAAAAATAAGAATATCTTTTCACAATTATTATATATAGTTATATAATATTTAATTATTATATAATTATAATCAGGATTAATATAAAATTGCAAATGAATTTTGAAAGTCTCCCAAATACAAATAAAACGCAAAGTAATTTTTATAAGAGCTGCGTAACAACAAGCAATTAAATCGTCGAGATGGATAACAAAGATCCAAGTCCTTCCGCGATCTTGTTAGTCCGCTTGATGGTATCTGGGCTCTGGGGAGTTAGCGCCGCGAGTGAAATCAACTTGCTCTCGCCTGTTGCAATATTATCCGTAAAAATGTGCGAGAGAAAACGGACTCTTTCTACGGGTTATTCATTATCTAAAAGAAATGTATCGATAAGATGCCACTCCCATTGTAAACTAGAGGAGAAACTTTTCGATTTCTATTTCTCTTGAAAGAGACACACTTTTATTAAATTAAAAAAAATTTTTTTTTTTTTATTGATTTATTTATCATCGAATATTTCGAATTTTTATAAAAAAATTTTAAAAATTAACGAAATTGTTTGAAAAGTTATATTAATTAATATAGATTATTAATACAAATATTATGTATATTTACATGGAATATTAATTGAAATTGATTTTTAATAATATAATATACAATCGATAATAATCTAATCGATTTTAAAGGCATTTTTCGTGAAATTCAGAAATTTGATATACATACATACAACTAATAGAATTATTTTTATTTTTATTTTGTCGTTATTTTTTAATTTTTTTATTTAATAAAAAAAATCACAATTTACATATGTAAAAAGCAAAAAGTTTTGATATAGTATAATTTAAATAATATTTCATTCTTCTTCAAATCGACTATACGAATTATATAGTCATGTCAACGTGATAATGCACGTATGTTTGCATTTTATTCATGCGCACAAAAATTTACTTATTATATTCGTATACTTAGCTTTGATATCTAAAAATTTAAAAAATAATTTTTCAAGTTAAAATACGAAAATCAATAATTAAAAAAATAAAATCGAAAACATCATTCTTTTATTCTTCATTCTTGTCTAGTTTGATTTAAAAATTTTTTCAATATCTAAATTTTAAATATCTATAACCAAATATCTCGTATAAGTTTGGCAATTTTTTTATATAATATACACATAATTTATCGTTCCATCGTAATAAAGAAAAATTAATTTAATTTATCAAATAGGTTTTTTAAGTTAATAATTTTTTGAAAAATTGTATGTACGTTCTATATTTTTAAAATTCATTCTTTGAATAAATATCTGTTATCCGCGTGAAGGTTGTTGAAATTTTTATTAACTTAACTCGCAGACATTTCTTTTTTTATTCTCATATCACGTTCAAATATCGCTGAGAAAGAAGTTCTTATGTACGATAGTCATGAGTTAAAAACCGTATACAGTACAGCTCGACGCGTTTCATTCTTTACACGTTCTACAATTCTGTTGGAATAACCAATTCCATTCAAACATCGTAACCGTAAACCTTGACAGACAAAATTTCTCATGTCGAGTGAATCTATTTGACGTTTCTTTAGTATCAATGTACATTCCTTATGAAGAAATTTGACATCAACAAAAGTTCCACCATTGAAACATTATACTTGGAAAACAATTGAGAAAAAAGAAGGGCAAAGATAGGACATTCCATTTTTGTAAAACGTTTTCTCTCGTTTTATACTGGATTTGTTTCTCGATATATTTTGACATCCAATTAACCGTTTTATATATATAATGGCGAGATACTTAACTAGTACGACAAGATTTAATTTGACTCTCAAGATTTGACCCAGTTCGAAAGAAACAAGCGGAATGTAGGCTTCACCCAACTAAATATGTATATAAGTGCAATTACATCGGTTCTAAAAAAAAGTTGCCAAGGAACAATGATCTTAACCACTTGAATACAATGCCCGAAACGAATATTCCAATGAAAATGATGTCGAAGATTAACCTAACCTAATTTAATTCTAAGATTTGAATAAGATATCTGAAAAGATATAAAAATATATGCGTTTATTAAAATTTATTGGCTATAAAATTTTAAATCTTAGATTTACAGTAATACCCTAAAATATCGATGCGCTAAAAATCCATAAAGCAGGTAATAATTTCCAAAAATATTGCATTTGACTATGTTTATTGAAATTTAAGTTCCTCGATAAGAAAAGATAATAAATATATATGTATATGTAATAGATCAAAAGTGGTAGAATATTCAATTACAAAAATTTAAATTTTTCCATTTTATTTTTTTAAAAATGTCAATAAATTGATAAGATTTTATTCCTCATAAAAATAAGTTCAAACATAATAAATCAGATAACTTTCTAAAGTTTATTTATTATTAAGATATTTAAAATGATTATTGAAAAAAAAAATAGATATCCATTATATTTCTTATCGTATTTAGATAATTTTTATCGAGAAAACTTTTATTGACATTATTTTTAAAATGAATTTAATCTTATGAAATTATAGAAATTTAAATTTGTGCTTTGTACAAACTTGACCGTTGTTGTTGTTCTACTTATAATTATTTATATATTTTATTAAGTATACTTTCATTATATTTACTCACTATTTTTATGAATAAATTTAAGATATGTTGAATTATAATATGTATTGATTACTGGAAATAGTAAATTACTGCCATTTAAATTAATTTTCTACGGATGATTACGAAAAATTTTACTATAAAAAAATAATTTTTAAATTGCCTGTAATTTTTTTGAATTTGAATTTTTTGAATTGTAATTTTATTACATCGTCAAAAAATTAAAAATAAATTAATTATAAGAATTAAAAATAATGTGAAAAAGAAATTTAATAAATTAATAAAGAAAAGGAAATTTATAAAGTTTTTGAGAAAAGAGGTCTAGGAAAAAATGTAGGTGGTTAATAGTATAGCGGAGGTGTAAGCTGCAAGAAGGCCATATAGTTGGATTTCGCCCGTGGGCGTTGGTTTCCCCTTGGCCTTCCAATGGACGCGCGGCCACTTGTATGTCTGCTTATCCTACTGTTCGCCGCGAAGAATTTACCGTGGTCATCGTCGGAGAAACAAAACCGCAGAAACAAAATCTAGCGGTTTCAAGAGAATGGTAAAAAGTTCAGAGGGGAGAAGAAATGTTTTTACATTTCGTTATTCTGCTTTTCCTTCTGCGGTTTCGCATCTCGTCTTTCAACAGTCTCCTCGAGCTGATCACTAACACTCTCTTTTTCCCTCTTGACTTTCTTTCTTCTTTTACTCGGTTTTTCTTGTCTCTTTCCTCATTCCCACCTAATTTTGTTGAAGGACAGAAAGAGTGCTTTTGAAACAACTTGTTCCAAATTATTTTGAACTAGTGATGGGAACTAGTGGATGATGGGAAGTATATAGCAAATAGATTTAAATATGAACAAATTTTGTAAAAATCAAGAAATATTGTTACTTTCTATGTTAGATAGATTCTTAGACTCTACATCCTTTAGTTTTAGAAGTTTTTCGTTATTTTTTTTTTTTTTTATTTCAATGGATATGAGGATTCCTAACCTATAAATCAATCAAATATTATTGTTAAATAATTACAAATGAAAAAATTAAAATAAAATTGTAGAAATTCTGTTTATTGTATAAAAATAAATATTGAATAAGAATTCAATAGTATATTTTTAATTTCTGATAATTATATTTATAAGAAGTTCCACATTTATGTATGTATTTCAACATCGAAATATATTTATGACAAATGAATTATATTCTATGAATAATATTTGAACTTTATGAAAAATTATTTCTATTGAATTTGGACTCAGACTTGTAATATGCATATCGAACTTGATTCCGTCATTATTCGTAATATAACGTTCATTAACCTCGTACCATCGAGAGTCTAGCTTGCCCATCTAACCTGACCTACAATCTGGCATCTAGTGCGGCACTAGATGCGATCAAGTCGCAGCGACATCATTCTTCCTTGTTCGATTAGTGATTTTTTTCGATTGAATAGGCATAAAATTGTAATATTTCGTGACAAATTAGTATACAGATAGTATGCAGATAGATAACGTAAAAAATCGATGATTTATGATTAATAGCACTTATGCAATCGATAATATAAAGATACATTTAAGAATACAATATATAGAGAACATGACAGAATAGATTTGCGAACGCTATGCCACATTACGCAGTCATTCATGTTCATTCTATAAATATTTTTTCTTAGTATTTATGTATAGATATTATAATGTATAGAGATTGTTACGTCGTAAGATGTTATTTAAATGATTTATATTAATAATGCAAATTAATATTTATATATTTATATAATTAATATTTATATATAGTTCTTAATCAACATTAATCAAAATTATAAAATTATAACATTTTAGCAATTTTATGATGTTTAATAGATTTTTAATAAAAAATTATTATGATTACTATTATTATTATTACAATTTTGATTAGTAGCTTTATAATTTTAATATTTTTTTAATAATCAAAAGTATTCTACGATTTCAAAAAAATCTAAAAAATAAAAATACTAGAATAAATATATATATCTTTTTTGTAAAGTAAATATAAATAAATGTATATCATTGAAATTGTAAAATTTTGATTCGATAATATAATTATATTGATGGTATTTGCATGCAACTGTCTGTAAATGCAACGGAAGCATCCAAAAGCAATGACCATGAAATCAAATGCAGTACTGGAAATATTCTGTTCCATTCTCTTTTTTAATTAGGTCTATCTTCTTAACGTTTCCTATAGATATACATTTCACATTTTAGATTGATAATCATTATCTTTAAAGCCGTTTGTTGATAATATCTTCCAAAATTGTCCATTTTATTCGATTACAAACGAAAAAAAAAAAAAAAATAAGGAAGAAAAGAATGAAAATGAGCTTTTAATGAATTTGAAAAATTCTTGCCGAAACTAATGTTTTAATTCTTACATAATGAATCAGTCAATCAAAAAGCAGATACAAGATTTATTTAGATCCAAAAGAAGAAATTATTATTTCTATTATTGAAAATGAATTTATCAATTAAATTATTATTTTTTTCTATCTATGAATTTTCAATTTTTAATAATAATTCTGTACTCTATATTTATTCAATAAAAATTAATAAATTATTATTATTATCTAATAAATATTTATTTAACTGAAGCTTATTTATTCGGTGAAAGTTAATAAAATTATATTATAAATATAATTATATAAATATTAAATTATAATAAAACTAATATTATTAATAACGATTGTATGTGAATACGGGTTTAACTGGATTTTAGGCAGAGAGAGATAAATTGGAAGAAACCAGGCGATCGTTGGAGAAGCGATTGGAGGGTTGCGAGGCGGAACTCCGAGGTAAAGAGGACGAACTATTTCTACAACTGGAACGTAGTCTTCGTCTGGAAGAAGAAGTAGAGAGAGCTAAGACAGAACGGGATAATTGCATAGCTGCCAGGGATCGGTTGGAGAAACAACGCGAAGTTACATTGCGACGTCTACAAATGCAACTAGCACAAAATGAGATCACGAGACAAACTCTTGAACGGGCTCGGCAGGATGTTGTCAGACAGGCCACTGTTATTCGTGCTGAACGAGATGCTCTTGAAAGAGAGGTGATAATAATTTGATAAACAAATATATATTGCTCTCCTTAATTAAAATTTATTATCTATATGTGTTTCAAAAAACAATTGATAAGTTTTTAAGCTATAAGTAATAAGCAATAACAAATAAAATAGCTTTTTAACTTTATTTAAAAAGTAAAAGATAAACTTTAAATATAGCAATGTATCTTAAAAAATGAAAAAATAAATAGATAGAATAGTTAATTAAAGAGAGCAAAGTATCCATTTCAATAAATATGATGAAATCAATAATTTTACTTATATATTATATCTTATATCTATAGAATGAAGTTTTAAAAGAAAAATTGCGCATAGAACAAGGAGAATTGGGAGAGGAAATACGTAGACGAGACGAAGGTGTTGCAGCATTGACTCGAGAAACTATGACATTGAGACATGCAGCGAGACATCTTCGTGCAGCAACAATACATGCCACATCTTGCCGCCGTCGTCGACGGTGCTCTGTCTGTTTGTATGCGAGACGCACTTTTGCTGAGGTCGATGATTATCGCGACGAGTAAGTAACTCATAGTTAGGAGAAATGTATTAATTCCTAACACACTATATGTACGTACTACGTATTATAATTTTAATACGTGAAATCCATAAAAAAAGGATGTAAACATATATATATATATTTTTAATCTTGTTTTTATGTTACATACAATAAATTATTTATATTAAGTATTAAAGTATTCTAATTAAAAAATGACAAACATATATTTAATATACAATATATTTAATATTTAATAAACAAATATTTATGCTTTTAAAGTAAATTTCAAAATTTTTTATTTTGAAATTATACTTTTATAATAATAATAAAGAACGAATTTGTTGTAATTTAAAAATAAATAGAATATATGACATATGTTTATATAAATTTTATTATTAATTTTATATATTAAATCAATTCTTAATGAATTGATATGCTATAGAATACATAATCTATAATAATATAGTTAATGAAGAGAATAATATAGTTAGAAATCAAAAATGATTTATCTATTATTTGCATAAATTTCAGTGGAAATCTTTTCAAGTGCCTTCAAGCGCCGCTACAGGATCTACGTACCTGGTTGCGACCCAGCACGTCTGCAACAACATCGCGTGGACAGAGAACTATTTCAGTGTTAGCCGATCAAGAAATAGGTTTCATTGATGATTCCAGTGTTGATAGCAGTGCCGGTGGAAGTAATGGCAGCAATAGCAGTACAACTAGTAGTAATAGTGCATCCGATGACGAAGCATATCCAAGTACTCCTGTTGCTGAAATATCACTTTCATCGGCTAATTCAAGTGTTCCAGCTACGGCTAGAGCCTTTTCATCCGATTCAGGGTTAGTGATAGGGTTTTTAAGTTTATATATTTTTTAATAATCCAAAATTTAAATGCTTTGCATATGACTTGCATATATTTATATAAAATTTGTATTTGTATCTTATTTATTTATATCTATATTGATCATTACTATTCAATATATTGAATTTTAACTGGGATGTTAACAACTTCAATTAAAATAAATATTAAAATAAAAAGATGTTCATAAATTTTTGATAATCACATTAATAAAAATTATAATTATTGGGAGATATTTGATTTTTTTTTATTTCTATCAATAAAATCAATTGACAGAATATTGTTTATAATAAATTTGTATGTTTTTTAGGTTTTCTTCGGAAATCGGAGATCGAAGATCACGATGTTATGAAAATGGCGGTAGTAGCACCAGCAGTAGCAGCGGAAAAAGCAGAAAAATTAGTGAATCGCTTAGTTGCAGTGAACCGGATGAGCAAAGTACAACAGGACTTACTCGGTCAAGATGGACCTCCTCGTTTCGTAAATTACTTGGACGGAAACCGAAGACCAAGTCCACATCCGACCGCTCCTCATGAAGAGCTTAAGACTGAGAAAAGCACAGTCATTGTGTTCGAAACACATAGTGCAAAATCATAAAATTTAGTGCTCCCGCCTTTTTTCGGTTGCGTCGTTGATTTATCGATATTGTTCGCTTGATCGGTAAAACATTCCAAATGAGTCCATTTAAGAATTAAAAGAAACAATTCGATACTGCCCGAATATTGATAATAATGCAATCCTGGTTTTCTTCATATTAATAATATCGAATTAAAAGCGCGTTAACAATCACAGATATCGAATTGTATCATTATAGAAATTTATCCTCGCAATTGATCACAACGATCATTTTACTAGTAATTTACTTTTTCATATTTAATATGAAATATTTTGGCTAATGTCTCGATTATTAATACTCGCGACATTATGTAGGAATTGAAATTAAAATAAATTATTAATGATTAATCGATTTATTGTTAATTAAAAAGGAGACTGTGTTAATGATTAAATTGGACATAAGAAATTTATAAATATCTTATTTCTAATTGGATAATGAATGATGTTATTATTTATGATGTATTTTATTGTTCTTATATTGTTATTGTTAAAATGATTATTCTACTAGCCAAAGAAATATAAATATATATAGAATATCCTACCAATTTTTCCTGCCAAACTATAACATGTTATATAAGCAAAAATAAGAAAAAAATGTTAATATATACATGTTATACAAACATTTTAGTCATAAAAGTTATAACAAAAATATAATATAAATATAATAATACGAATTTGTTCTTTCTTCTAAATAAAATGAAAATATCTTATCGATATTAATTTAATTTAATTATACAAATATGTTTATATAAATACCATTTCTAATTTTTTAACTCAATCTTTAACTAACTTTAAACTTGTAAATAGATTGAATAAATATTGATCATTATTCTTATATTGTATAAAAGAAAGAACAAATCCATTATATTTTTGTAACTTTTAAATAAAATTTATATTTATACAACTTTTTATTTCTTATTTTTGTTCATAAAACATATTATGGAGGAAAAAATCTGGGACACTCTGTATACACGAATATCAATTGCAGTTTGATTCGATATATTATAGAAATACAAATATTGAAATTTTTACTTTTTACTTTTAGTATCTAATGAAATGTTGAAAATATTTATAGCAAAACATCATTCATAAAATTAAATTCAAAATTTTTTTGTATGCAATAGTATATATATATATATATATTAAAACCAAATAGATAATGTCAACTGATCTTCTTTTACAGGATATCATATAACTTATACATGATAGAAAACTTTAATTCAAGTAGATTGGAATTAATAATATATAAGCGTATCTAAGAATATATTATCAATAATACATTATGAAATATGCAAAAACTTCATATCCAGGGTAAAAAAGTTCTCTTGAAAATTTTACTTAATCTAATTATTAATTCAATTATAATTATTAGGTTCCTTTTCAAATTTTATTCATAATTCATAAGAAATTATCGCAAATTTTATATATATTTTTTATATTGTATTTGTAAATTTTAATTTTAATAGATTTTTGTAAATTCACAAAACAATTATGAAAGTATTTATGATTCGATATTAAATTAATGTAAAAATTAAAATTTAAAACAAATCAAACAATAAATATCTATTTAATAATTAAATTGAATGAATTTTCCATAAAGATAATGAAAATATTTAAAATTAATTTATCTAAAATTATATAATTTATTACAATTTTTTATTATTTTTTATTTCTAATTTCTTAAAATTTTTGCATTAATTATTAATATTATTGATTTTAATTAATTTGAATTATATATTATATCTCAAGTACAAATATAATTAAGAATGCAAAAAGTAAGATCTAAAAACATTTTATAAAATTAAATCCATTACTTTCGAATAAGAATAGCAACAATAAATTAATTATTATTATCTTTTAGCTCATTTTAATTTTTAATTGATTTTTCTAAAATATTACCTCTGCTCTTTTTTCAGGAATTCATACACTTCTATGTAATTTGCTAAATTTTTATCTATTTTGTATGTAAATATTCAAAAGTATCATAAGGTGCATGAGAATTATTTTAAATATTTAAAATTGTTTTCTTTGGATTGGTAAATCATAATAATTATTAATTGGTTTTTTAATTATAATATGTTCCTTAATCCTTAAGTAATTTTTTAATACAACATATATATATATATATATATATTATGAATTTATGAATATATTATGAATTTTTTACTATCTGACTTTTATTTTTTTTTAAATTTTTATGGAAATATAAATTCAAAAAATAGAATGTTGAAAAATCAAAAATTTAAAGTCTCTTAAATATAGATTTAATTGATTAATTTTGAAGATTATAATTTGATTGGTTAAAATATTTAGAGATAGAGTAATTTTAATTGATTTTTAAATATTATAATTAAGAATATATA